TCAGGAATAAGCATGCACGTTTTAACACAATCAAAGATAAAATACAAAGCAGGGATCCTTCATTTATATATTTATTTTGTGTGAACAAAAACAGATTATAGATTAATATGAATGTGGTCATGCATAGGAAGCATACAGAAAATAAATCCAGTAAATAAAAAAAATCTTAAGTTTTTCCAAATATTAGGAAACAGTAGCTATTATTATATACAGTGAGTGATACAGAAACAATATTAAATATATACAGTGTGTGTGTGCGTGTATATGTCAGTCACTGTCTTCATCCTCAGGAGGTGCCCGAAATTCTTCTTCTGGTGCCTGGAAAAAATCAAACATATATTTACCAATCACTTCAACGACTTTTTAATTACTTTTTACTTCACTTTGGTGTATAAGTAAATAAGTGAAGGGATAAATCAAAACAGTTGTTATTCTAGAGAGAGAGAGAGAGAGGAGCTGATGAAGCAAGTTTATTCTTAAGTGCTTTGTTCTAATCGCGTTATTGAATAGTGTCTGTAAACTGCACAAAGACTGTTTTTTTTGTAAGTGAATATTTGTAAGTGACGTCACTGGTTAACTGTACTAGCTTACTTCCAATCACCCATTGACAAATTACCAGCAAAACAAAACTATCAAAAACTGTTATCAACACAAAGATGTGGTTAAAACCCCAAACTTATATATAACAAGAGCTCCAGTGTAACGTTAACTTAACTTACCTCTTCTGAAAACGGTTGAGATGCTAACGGACTTTTTCGAAGACACAAAACCATTTCTGTAAAGTAAATATTCAACAGAAGCGTATCAATTACACGTAAGAAAGGTGTCAGGAACGTTAGTATGTATTATTTGTGTGATTTTGTTAACTAAAATTACCTGAAAGCACTCAGTGAAAACATCAGCGAGAGACGCTAGTTTTGCTGTTTGTCAGTTGATGAGTGTCCTCATTTCCATGGTTTCCATCTGCTCGCGCGCGCTCCGGTCTTTGAATGCGACTCGAATGTTTACGCGCACGCACATTAAAGTAACAACAGGTAACTTTTGCTCTCGGGGTCCCCCTACAGTTGGGAAACAGTATTGTCCTCTACTACTGTCGTAAACTCTGTCATCCTACATGCACGTGCAATTGTTGACAACCATGATAGCCCTGAACACTGTAGGAGGAGGTCACATGCAGGTGTTCTGCTTGCGTCGCGTGTGAAATGTCTTCATCCCAGGTACAGTGGCATATATTTCAGCATGTCATATGAATATAATTTCATGGGTTTTATTTTTTTTCTAACGACAAATGATCGCGATGCTCACGTTTACAAGCCAGCGTCATTATAGTAGCCTAGTCTATTGGTTACCGTTTTACTGAATCTATATGATACTTCAATGCAATGTTTGAGTGGTTGATAATAACCATATATCGTCAATATTATAATATCAAGCTACCATAAATGAATCTGCAAATTTTACAAATCGATTTGCATTATAGCTTGAGGCAAGACAAATAAACAAATATCACAGACATGTTAGGTATCCTAAAATATGATTTTATTAATAATCTTCCTCCTTTCTTTGTACATGTTGAGTAGACTACACTTTTTAGGTCAAACATTTGCTATTTGCATTTCATCGATTGCAAAGTTCAAATCAAAACGAGAATACTAGCGATAGCTAACCATCAAAAACTAGAATATTGTTTAGCTACCAGATTGATACTAGCTACCAGATTGATAATTCGCTACTACTCTAGCGAATTAGAGAGGTTAGAGACAGGCATTCTTTTTTCGATGGGGGGTTCGATGCTCCCTGCACACGCAAGGTCTCTCGCTCGCTTTCTCTCTCTGCCGTCCGCGCGCGTTGGAGCACAGTCTCTGTCTCGCGTGTGCGCTCGCTCTAGATTCCGGGAGATTTGAACTAATTTGCGGTATAACTTGTCCATCACGAGTGGCTCAACAGGTAGATCTATAGATAAACTCATCTTTCAGGCATTTGACCGACTGGGTTGACAATTTAGCGTGAGAAACCGGGGGTGTGGCGTACGTGTGATCGTGTGAAACCAATCAAATGCGGGTGTCTCACGGCCAATGCGTGAGAGTTGGCAGCTCTGCAATGTTGATCCTCGTTCTGCCTTTAACGCGATCACTTTCTCTTTTTCTCTTTTTCTCTTTTTGCTTTGCTCCGATACAACCTTTGCTTTCTTGTTTTTCCGTGCTGCTTCGGCCATGACTATAACATTTGGCTTGCAAGTCCGATTTTAAGGAAGTGGGGGTGGTGGTGGAAGTGACGTATATGCCGTAAAGCAGTCGAATTTTGTAGTTCTTTTTGTTCGCCGGTTACTACCCGAAACCCGAAGTTTAAAAGTACGAAATAAAAACGCTACAGACCCCGTCAGGCTATGGCAGACGTGTCATTCAACCTATTGTAAGTCGATGTACCATCACAAGAGACTTGGAAATATATTATGAAGGTTGAAAAGTTACCTGTTGTTACTTTAAAACCATAGAACACTTCAAGGCACGCATTTAAATAAACATCTATAATTTAACATATAACAATTTAAAATATCATTAATTTTAAATCATAAATTTAAAATTCATTGTGTAGTTCTATGACCCATTCACTTGAAAAATGCTTTATTTTTTATACCATCACATTGCTTTTGCTTTTATTTTTATTATATATAGCCGATTTGTAAAAGCACTAAAGACTGCTTTACATAAATGAAAGATGGTAATGAAATAACGGGCCGTGACGTTGCAGTTTCGTTGCCAGTAGCCTAAGTCATAAAATTAGCAAGTTACGATTATGTATCTGGAACGTCCCCCTAAAGTCACATTGGAAACGTTATTATATGACCAACAGAGGACCGTATGGAAATGTTCTGTTAACGTCCCAAATGTCCTCTTTGTAACGTTTTTGTGTGACCATATTATCATCAATATCGAACGTCACCCTAAAGTAATAACGGGAACGTTATTATATGACCAACAGAGAACCGTATGGGAACGTTCTGTTAACGTCCCGAATGTCCTCTTTGTAAAGTTGTTGTGTGACCATAGAATAACCAGTATGGAACGTCCCCCTAAAGTCACATTGGAAACGTTATTATATGACCAACAGAGAACCGTATGGAAACGTTCTGTTAACGTCCCAAATGTCCTCTTTGTAACGTTTGCTATGTGACTATAAAATACCCCAAATAGAACGTCCCCCTAAAGTCATATAAGGAACCTTGAACAGCAGCACTTTCATAACCAAAAGAGGACGTTCTATGAACGTCCCTAATGTTCTGTAAAGGTTCGGAACTTTCGTTACCTTTAGAGAACTTTTAGGGAACGTTGCACAAGGTCGCGAGAACGTCACCTCCTACGTGGGTGTGCCCTTCCTGTCTTAACAAGTAGGATTGAGGATTTATATACAGATTTATATACAGAAATTGAATAAAGTTATCAAACAGTCTGCGCTGCATGAATTATAAATTATATATAATCCTTATTAAAGCTACAAAACTTCTTTAGTCAAGAGCAGTGAGTAATTTTCTGTTCCCTTTGTTCTTTGATTAACTTTACTGACAGAAAGCTTTATTCGCTGCTGGCCCTTTGAGAGCAGCCGTTGCTGAGACGCGGATCTCACACGCGTCTCATTCTCTCACAAGCACAACTCTTTTCGTCCATCATAAGACTGCTCTTATGTTATGAAGATAATCGACAAAACGACATTTTGGCATAATTGTGTGTGTTATTGTTCGTTCAAGCTCAAAAGAGAACTGTATTCTGGCACGCGGTCTGTGCATGCGTATTATACTGGCGCGCGTTATTCTGTGAGTCACATTCAGGACATTCACAGGCAGCGCGCTCTCTTTTGACTTCTTGTCGTGCAAAATGGTTTTTAGGCATTTGCACGAATAAGAGCGGGATCATGTAACACTAAAGGGTGACAAAAAAGAAGAGATGCGGTGTTAATAGCCCTAATTTGTTTATTTCATATAAAATCGTGTCATTTTGCGTTATATAATCGCATAGGTTTGACATCGCGATTACGATTGCGATACGATTAATCGTGCAGCACTACCATTAACCATCATGAAATGACCCTTCAAAATAGATTATGCTTCTGTTAGAGAGCTACATATGGCAGTTTATCTGTTCAATAAAATACCTTACTCACCTGTTGTAAATTAACTTTAGCTGGAAATAACATTATTCAAGAACCGCTATAAAGCCAAAACAATCTCTGTTACCTTAAATGATATGTTTATCTCTGTAAAGCTGCTTTGAAACAATCCATTGTTAAAAGCGCTATATAAATGAAGATGACTTGACTTGACTTGAGTAATTATAACCCCATCTCCGCATTGTTTTTACAACATTTCAAATCCCTCAGTTCTTGCCATCTCCAAAAAGCCAAGCCAATGTTGATTCTCGTTTTATTACGAGCTCTGTCGCGTTCTCTTTTTGCCAGCAGACTCTCCACTGTTCAGCGTTTCTTATAAAACGGGTGATTCCCCGGAGGTTCTACATTTAGCTGCTCCATGTCAACCTTCCTCACTCGTTGTGACCACTAACCTATGCCACTCCCACACCATACACGCATCAAAATCGCCATTTTTCTCTATTTACGGATTTGACAAGTAGCGCTCGTACGCAATTTCCATGTACGCAATTTAATGCGAAAACCATCCCGCTAGGTCTAAAATATAAACACTTATAGGCTAACCATGTTGAATCTGACCTTCGTCTCGCATTTGTAAGCCCAAAAATGCATTCTTCTTACTCTTTTTTTAAATACGCTTGCCCTTGTGTGCTCTCTGAACAAGTTGGTTGCAAATCTGACTCTGACTCAGAATTGTTTACCCTTGAGTCATTCCATGTGCCAGGGGAACCGTGTACAGAATGAGTATTTCACGACCATGTTGTCTCATGGTTTGACCCAGCTGATTTGTACCAGATGTTTTTTGTTGTTGATGTCACGGTTCGTATGGGTTTAAGCTTTTTTTTCTTTACCTCTAGGCAGAAGAGTGAGGTGGGGCACCCTGTGTCAAAGGTCACACGAGCAGAGGATGTCATGCACCTGGCAGTGGTGGCTTGTGGGAACCGTCTAGATGAAACGCTCAACATGGTGAAGTCAGCACTGCTCTTCAGCATAAAGAAGATCAAATTTCACATCTTTGCAGAGGAGGACCTTGCCGAACAATTTGAAAAAGGGGTGAGAGCATGTCCCATGATTATTTCATCTTTGCTGTGGCTATATTAGGGTTTTTTTATTTGATTGTAATGTCTAGCTGACTGGTGACCTAAAATATGTGGGGGGTTTTTTCATCAGACATTTATTTTCAAGGGGTTTGAGTATCTTTATCTAAGGCATATCTTTATTTTCTGGAAAGCATTGCAATGGATAACTGACTTTCAGACAAAGTTTCATCCCCTAACTATGTAGCTCGAAAAAATCTGCCACACGTTTTGGGACTATTGCTTCACTCTGATTCTTTCCCTTGCAACTTAAATCTCTAAATGTAATATGCCAACTCCAGCATAACTAATAGGGCTGTGAATATTTGTTCTGAGAACAATTCAGTTTGATTACTGTTTTTTATATATATTAAATGATGCGGTGTATTTTGTTTGACCATTTCAGTTTATTATTTTGGTACCATTCATAATTTTTCCAGGGATTTGCTTAGTCAAACTCACAATAATGATTGCTTATATCAGGGGAAATTAACCTTTTCCAACCCTCCAATAACAAGCTCTTGCTCATATCATATTCATTTTATAGTAATTATAATCATAATGATTGTGTTTTACATCCTTACATCCTAAGATTTCTCAGTGTATTTAAACCTTTGACCTTTGACAGAACTGTGACTGTCAATTGTATTGTACTAGTAGTGGCTTTGTGGTAACCCTCAGACAATGTCAGACTAACCCTGACAGCCAATCTGGTGAGGAGGGTAATGTGAGAAACCTCATGAATCTATCGATCTCTTTACCATTAACACATTATTTGGTTTCTGGTAGAGTGGTCTTTCTCTACACTCCTAATCGTTTCCAATGTTTCTCACCACAAAGGGACTGTTATTGAAAATAGCACTACATTGTTTTCTACATTTAGACAGTTGATGCTTTTTGAGAGGTGCCCTCTGGCCTTGAGCTGATCTTGATCTATTCCTGCGCATACTGCTGAAGATAAAGGATCTGAAGGCTTTGAAGAGAGATAGAGAAGGAATGCAATGTCAAGTTTGTTATTCAAAAGATTTCCTCTGTTTTTCTGCAGCCTTTTCAGCAGTAGTTATTTGGCCATCAGCAGGATATTATAAACCAGTGGTTCTTAACTGATTTGTTATGACTCAAAAATGGGTTGAAGGTCTTTTCTGATGGGATCACGGACGGCTGGAAAAAAACAAAGCTAAATGAGAATGATAAAATCCAAGTAGATTGTTTGACATTTATAAGAAAAGAAAAAAATGGCTTTCATAACTTTTGTTGATGACATGCATCTAAATAAATGTACACAGTCGAATTTACAATAAAATACTGTCAAGTTTAAGGTCCCTTGGTGGTATTATGACTAATGATAAGTAAGGGGTAATCCACGGCTATCTGTGCAATAAATGATTTTAATGAATGATGTGGAGGCAAAAAAACACCCGAGTCCCGATGCGAAGACTCTGTTGCGCTTGTTCCATGTGTTAGAGTGCTAAGGCATTTTGAAAATTATCAGTTTTTCTATTCTGAATAATTTACATATTGCTGTGCCTGTGAAGTTTATGGTGATAATAAAAAAAAGTATATTTTTGTTGGCATTGAAAAAAATGAACTGGTTGTCACTTCCAAACTTGCATGTACCAAATCTCCCTTAGTTTTTTTTTTTTTCTTTATCTCTAGACATAAATGCAAAAAATGCAACAACAACAAAAAACCAAGTAGCTAAATTTGTTACTCTGTGTGCAGTAAAAAAGCATTAAAACATAAAATGACATATAGATTTGTGCCAAAGCTGATTGTGGGCAAATTGATCCTTAAGATATTAAAGCCTGGTTTCACAGACAGGGCTTTAGATTAAGCCAGGATTAGGCCTTAGTTCTATTAGGACATTTAAGTAGCTTTTATAAACGTGCCTTAGAAAAAAAAAACATTACCAAAACAGTGGCACTGACATATTTTAAGATATGTCAGTGCAAGTTGCTTTCAGTTAAAACAGCTCAAACATGCATTTTAGTCTAGGACTAGGCTTAAGCCTTGTCTGTGAAACTGGGGGTAAAACATGCCATGTCCTACTTAGTTAAAACAAGGTATACCACTATGGGTAGATCTCTTCAGGACTTCTAAATTACATTCTATAAATCACAAATCTTACAAAAGATACAAAATGTTGCTCTTTTGAAGGATTGGTACAGGTTTCTTCTCACACTTTTCTCTGCTGACATTGCCATTGACTGATTCTTTCAATTTCTTCTCACAGTTCAGTGTGTGGCCTCAGACGGTGTCCTCCAGGTTTCACTACAGCATATATCCAATCACCTTCTCTGTGGGGAATGCAGATGAATGGAAGAAACTCTTCAAGCCATGTGCTGCCCAGAGGCTGTTTCTTCCTGTAGGTTCCTGCTGCTTAAGTTTTTTTGTTCATTTGTTTGTTTTCCATCTCACCACACAGACTGTAACCAAGTATTTCTTCTGATCTCAGGTGATCCTAAAGGACGTGGACTCGCTGTTGTACGTGGACACAGATGTTCTGTTTCTCCGCCCTATGGATGACATCTGGAAGTTTCTGAAGGCTTTCAACAGCACTCAGCTAGCTGCCATGGCCCCAGAGCACGAGATCCCCAAGATCGGCTGGTATAGCCGCTTCGCAAGGCACCCCTTTTATGGAGTCACAGGGGTCAATTCAGGGGTCATGCTAATGAACCTCACACGGATTCGTAGCACTCTGTTCAGGGTAAGGAACAATACAATTGACTTGACTTGAATTTTGATGGGCAATTTGTAGCTCTGCTTATGGTGAAATTTCAGTGGTCCATAGCTGTTTTTTAAACTTCAAATACTAGAAATGAATATAACTCGGTTCCATACCAGTCTTCATTTTATATTAGAGATTTTTTTTATTTTATTGACAGCAAAGCCAAGGTAATCTTTAAAAGCACTAATAATTTCAAATGTAATCTTTGGCAAATCAATATCCACTTTTCATTCTGTACATTATAATGTGATGCCTAAATTCTCTTCAAATTCAATTATAGCATTTAAAATGAATAATTTAAGTTTTTAGTTGTTTATTTTGAATTTATTTAGACATAAAAACCTTAAATATCTGGCATTGCTCAGTTATCTACTATAACTTGAAAATGATTGTCAGCTTATCGGTATCAGCCAAAATTTTAATATATGTGCATCTCTGTCAAATACATTCTGATTTATACACTTATTACAAACATAATATAATTAACGCAAATATTTTAGATTTCATAGAGTGCTAGGTTATTACTAGATATTGCCAGTGTTTTCCTTATATAGTTTATTCCTCTTGGTAGTGGGCTGAGGCTTTGGTGTTCACATATCTTCTGAGGTTTCTTTGCAGATTTAAACCCTTTTAACCTCAGGCTGTTTTTAGTAGGCAGTGATGGAAGTCTACTGATTGCCATCCGTTGAGAGAGAGAGAGTGGGTGACAGCAGTCTGGATTAGCATATTTCTGTAACTCAGCTAGAACTGTAATTTCCAACCCAAGCACATTTTCAAGGCTGTCTGGGAGGACAAAAAGAACATTTCTTCTTCTGAAAAAAATTTCCATATCAACAGCTGTCTGAAAAGTGTCTGCCAGACTCACTGTTGAGGAAAATAACCTGCCACTATTGATTTTACAGAACAGCATGATCGCCAGCGGTCTGTCGTGGGAAAATCTGCTACACCCTCTCTATCAGAAATACAAGAACCACATCACATGGGGAGACCAAGACCTCCTCAACATCATCTTCCACTACAATCCAGGTACAAGGATATGCTTGCACAAATATATACTTGATTATGATGAGTAAGATTAGACAACACAAGCAAAAAATTATTTTGTTTTTATGGACATGTACCATTGAAGTATGTTGTAAATACAATGGTATATATCAAAATACCTCGTTTTTTGGACATGCACTATATTAAAACCAGGTTTTTTGGATATGTGCCATGTCAATACCATGGTATTCTTTGAAGCTCTTAAAGGGGTCATATAATGCCATTTTTGTACAAGCTAATATGATTCTTTAGGGTCTAAATTAAAAGTTTGTAATATACTTTAATTAAAAATTCTCATTAGTATTGTAAGAAAACACTTATTTTACCTGGTAAAAAACAGCTCTGTTTTCAGCACGCCGTTTCAGTGTATATGACTTTAAATGATCATGAGCTTTGCTGACTCCACCTCTCTGTTCTATGCGTACACCAGAGCTGGCTCTGGCGTACACCGTTTGTAACACAATAACACAATAACCATAACACGTTGTTCAGTATAAACGTGGGATTATGCATTATATTGAGAACGTCATACATAGAAAACATGCCGTAATGTACCCTGAGTGTAAACCTTAGACGAATTCATTGTGAAGCGTGCAGCTAGCGATTTACAAGGATTAATATAAATATTAATATAAAGTTTAATAAAACGTTACACTCACTTCAGTTCTTCTGGAGGTGCAGCAGGAACACGAATAGATGGTACCGATCCTTTCAGGAGCAGCTTCTTAGCAAAACCAGCTTTATACCTCCTCGTTTATAAAGCAGTCTGGTGTGTGCAATGATTCGCGCAAACATGAGAGCATTGACGTTGCTAGTGGGGAATATTCCCTTCGAAAACAAACTCAGCCACTGCGTCTTCGGCGGTTCGGATTTAGGAACATTAAAATGACTGCTGTGTTCGTTATTACACCCAAGACCAGAACACCACAATCGCTTAGACGCCATTCTGCTCATAGACAGTGCTCCAGCATATCAACAATGACCACGCCGGTCCGCGCGGACTATGATTGACAGCTGGCTCACGAGCGAGGGCGGGTCTGTGTTGAAACGTGGCTGTCATTCAACAATCGTGGGAGGGGCGTGCGAGCTTGTGACGTCACACGCTCGAACGGCTCGATTTGAGGCAGGGGAAAACATATAAGGAGATTAAAACAAAACCACTGGATGGATTTTTATCATTATATGATGGTTGTGTACAGGCACTGTCAACACACATTTCAGTACAATCAACTTGTAAAAGTGCATGTACCATTATATGACCCCTTTAAAGTATTTTGTAAAATACAGAGGTATAGATAACTTGTTTTTGGTACTACACTAATAGTATGCTTCAAAGTCCCATTTATTAATTATATCTTTAAAGTACCTTGCATTATCTTGTAAATGCCATGGTGCATGTCAAAATACTTTGGTTTTACCATGTTTTTAGACATGTAAGGTGATAATACTATACATTTTAGCCGGTACATACTATGGTAAATATCAAAATACCTCTGTATTACTCTGGCGGTAATAAGTATTATGATATTAGCATATGTGATTACATCACTGTACGTTGCACTAGCACAGTAGAAAAAAGTAAGGGAAAGTTATTCAGTGCATCATTTAAACTCTCATATAAACCTGTCTACTTTCTTTATTTTTGTTGATTTGCACTCTACATTGTTACAGCACTAGTTTACCGGTCATTGTGTTGTTTGCTGGAGGCTTAAATCCAAGTGTAAAAGCTGTTATTCTACTTGTTGTGAAGCCTTGAGGGTTTTTATCATGCACATGACAACTAAACTTTCCAACTCTGATTGTTGTTTCTTGTGCAGAGCTTGTGCACCTTTCCATTTGTACTCTTCCCAGAAAAAGAAAAAAATGTTTTAACTCTCTTTCCTCGCCCTCCTGAATGTTGTCGTTTTATAGAGATAAGACCCTTTTGTGTAGATTAACACATCTCTTGACTGGAACAGGTGTGACAGATACTGACAGGTGCAGTAATTAAAGTTTCTAAATCGGTGAGACATTTGGCAAGGGTAATGGTACAGGCCCAAAAGACTAGCACAACTACAAACACCAACAAATAGAAGACAAATGAAGATTCTCTGCACAAGTGCTGCGTAGCTATGCTATTTGCAGTTTGGATAAAACGTTGAATATTTTTCTTTGTGTCTACAGAGTGTCTGTACATATTTCCATGCCAGTGGAACTACAGGCCAGATCACTGCATGTATGGAAGCAATTGCAAAGCTGGTGAAGAGGAGGGAGTGTCTATTCTTCATGGTAACCGTGGAGTGTACCATGACGACAAGCAGCCCGCATTTAGAGTGGTTTACGATGCCATACGTGAGGTGAGACATTTTCAGGAGACATTTATATGATAGAACTAATAGAATGGCTGTCAGATTGTTGATAATTATATATGTATACTACCATTCGAAAATGTTGACTCACTTAGATGTTTTTTAAAAGGAGCATCTTATGCTCATCCAGGCTACATCAAAAATACAATAAAAAGCATATTATTGCAAAATAATCTTATAATAAAAAAAAAAACTGTTGTCTATTTTCATACATTCTTAAATGTAATTATTCATGTGATGGCAAAAGCTGAATTTTCAGTAGTATTTACTCCAGTGATCCTTCAGAAATGATTCTAATATGCTGATTTGGTGGTCACAAAACATTTCTTATTATCATCAATGTTGAAAATGGTTTAATATTTTCTGATTAATAATTGCTTAATATTTTATGGAAACAGTGAAACTTTTTTCACCGGATTCTTTGATAAATATTAAGTTCAAAAGAACAGCATTTTTTTTTAAAATAGAAATCTATTTCAACATTATAAATGTCTTAACTGTCACTTTTGAGCAATTTAATGCATCCATGCTAAATAAAAAGTATTATTATTTTAAAAAAAAAATCTTACTATATATATATATATTAGTGCCGCACGATTAATCATATCGCAATCGCAATGTCCTTATATGACGCAAAATGGTGCGATTTTATGGAATAAATAAATTTGGGTTGTCAACGTTAACGCGTTAAATTGATTTAAATATTGATAAAATATTTAACGCAATCAACGCAGCATCTGTTCATTTTTGTCAATTAACGTTACGCGCTGCCTGTGAATGTCCTGACTGCATTGACACACAGAAAGACTCACGCCAGTTTCGTGTGCACAGACAGCACGCTAGAATACAGTTCTTTTTCGCGCTTGAACGGACAATAACACACAATTATACCAAAATGTCTGTTTCGTCGAGTATCTTCATAACATAAGAGCAGTCTTATGATGAACGTGAAGAGTTGTGAGAGAATGAGTCGCGTGTGAGACCCACGTCTCTGTCAGCAGCGGCTGGTCTTAAAGGGACAGCAGCCAATAAAGCTTTCTGTCAGTAAAGTTAATCAAAGAACAAAGGGAACAGAGAAAATTACTCACTGCTCTTGACTAAATAACTTTTGTAGCTTTAATAAGGATCAGTCTATATTTCATTTATAATTTATGCTGTGCAGACTGTTTGATAACTTTGTTCAATTTCTGTATATGTCCTACCTGTTAGACAGTAAGGGCACAGGTAAATATGACATTTATTTTATAATATTGTACTATTGAGACAAAAACAAGTTTGCAGTAATGCAAAGATGTCACTATTTAATTTTGTAAAAACTATTATTTTAATTTGAAAACACTGTGCATTTAGTTGTTGTTGCTAGTTTGAGTTGAGAAATACACATTTCAGCATTACCCCTAATCTGTGTGTGCATTTTACTTGAGAACCAAGCAATTTGACTCATGAAACCATTTGTTTATTATATCGCTATCGCAATATTGACCTCAATAATCGCAATATGACATTTTCCCCAAATCGTGGAGACCTAAATATATATATATATATATATATATATACATATTATACATGTCTGCATAAAAATGACAAAGATTAAGATTTTAAGATTAATAAGTATAATCTATTTGTCTTTGCTTGCTTAGGCCACTAATTCTTCAGTGCTAACAAAACAAATCCTGAGGGTGTTGAATCATGAGAATAAATAGAAGTGTTCCAATGTGCATTCAGAGTGCAGTTTACTTGAATCTCTCCTTGAGGGCTAATAGCAGGAAACCATCTCTCCACGAGGAAGCCTTTTGTATGGTTGAGTCACGTGGGCCCCTCTGCTGTTTAGAATTCAGTCAGATATGAAATGTGGACTTTGTTCATTGTGCCTCCACAGTTATACCAAAGCAGTTCCTCAAACTTGTATTTTACCTTCTCTTTCAGTATCCCTTTGAGGAGAACATGTTCCAGTCTTTGTTTTACCCTCTTCAGACTAAGTTCCTAGACACAGTTAACACCCTTTGTGGAAGAATACCACAGGTGTTCCTCAAACAGATCGAGAAGACCATGAAGGCTGTTTATGAGAAAAAAGTGGTGCGCCATGTCCGACTGCCACATGAGAAATGAGCCTCAGTTGCATTTCAACATCATAAGGAAGAGTCTCTGCCTGCTTCTTGGATCAGAGTGGGGTTTTTTTGTTTTCATTGAAGACAAGCAATGCCAGAAGCAAGCTACATTTGGTCCATTACGCCCAGTATGAGCTTCATGAGCCAGCGGAGTTGGAGATTTAAGCAGGAACGAGAAGCAGTTTTGGTCTGCTGGAGGGAGACAGAGAAGTCTCCAAATGCATTGAGTGCCTCCAACTGTGGGTTATCACATCTGAATGTTCCTGAAAGAATATGAGAGACTCGATGGCAAAGCTGTTTTCAGCAAATCCAAAAATATGGATTCAGAGCTATTTATTTACAACTGTGTTGTACCATTTTTCAGCATCCAGTTTATCATCATGTCTAGTATTACAAAATTGGAGCATTTGTTTCTAAGTACACTTTATCTGATTCTTGTACTTACGTGGCTGCACCAATTTGTTTGTGCATTCTGCTGCTTAATAGCATGAGATAACGCCTTGTTTTCAAGCCACAAAAATGAATGTAGCATGCAGAAACAACCAAAGAGAATTAGCCTGTCAGCCTTTAGAACTCAGCAAGATGTACATTCAGTTTAGGCACAGCCTTAATGGTGGATGTTCACACTGTTTACATTGAAGATGACTTGTTAGTGAGATTTAGAAAGGAGTCTGATGTTGTCATTTTTTCTTTGAGGTTGCATTTTTATATATATATAAATAATATCACAAAGCCTTTTTGTGAGAATTCCAGTTAAGTCAGGTGTCCTGTATTTTGATGTGACAAGCCTATTCTGATGGACATAATGAATTTGATGTTGAATATGTGGCAGAATGTCCTTTTAGGATGACCTGCTGCCCAAAAGGTCTAAGTGTTAAAATATATATTTTTAGCAATATTCTGTCTGGTCAACTACAGAGAACACATTTGGTTGTTTTATCCTGTGCTTTGTTATTAGGAACTTTTGCCATAGTGGGATTAAATTAAAGTGATCATTTAAAATAAAATACTGCCAATTAGAAAGGTTTGTACATCATGACAGTATAATATTAATAAAAACAACATTATAACAAAACCGTAAAACAATACACAGATGTACAGTTTGCAGTTAATTGCACTTTTTTTTTAAACAAATACTGAGTTTGGAGAAAGTAAAATGAAAGATAAGTTACAAATGGCAATAATAAGATTAGTTTAACAAAACAAACTCTTTGGACCCAGTATGATCAGTTTACCCATTTTGTTTTTTTACATTCTAAAATCATTTTAAGTTTGTGTAATCGCAGGCTTTTAATTTGTTTGTTGACTTTCTGTGTGAAAGTACAAACATAAAGGGGAGAGTGTTGAAAGTGTTTTGATGTGTGTTTTGACGTTCATTTAGCACAATGTGCTTAATTATATGTGTGACCAGTTTCCAGCCTCCTGTCACTGGTCTGGGATCAGTGATGAGATTTATTTAACTGGAAACTCAGGAGACTATTATACATCTCATGTTATCTCTGTGTCAAGAGATGCACCAGCGATGTTCAAGTTTGTATCAAGTGTGTTTTTCTGTCTTTCTGAATGTCTTCTATTATGTATTATTGTCCTTTTATACAGAAGTATGTATAAATGTAATAAATATGCATTTAATATTAAGAATTTATATATTTAATATGAATTGATCTATTATCAAAAAGCATTACATTTAAATCTATTGGTCAGACCATATATGTTAAGGCAAGACTTAATAATGATTACTTTCATTAACGTTTTAAAAAGTTATAAACCATAAATATTGTCACTGTGTGATATTTTGGCGGGCTGATATAGTAAAAAGTAAATTTTACAATTTTAAAGTAAATTCAAATTCCAATGATAATTAATACTTTCATACTTGTTTTAAATAATTAGGGAGATGAGCGTTAAATTATAATTATAAAGAGGCTAATCCAGTCAAACTGCACCAGACATTGAGACTGGTCAAAACCTTGTGAGCTGTCACAGCATTTATGGACATACTCTTTGCTCGGAACGCGCCAAAACGATGTATACGTAGGCAGTTCACTAAGTGTTTTTGCACATCCACAAAAACACAGCATCCGTACGGCTACAAATGATGTTTAGGTAGGCAGCTGACTGGATTTTGAGGCGCAGGCATACTATTGCGCAACAGCTGGGAAAGATCTCTAATACCACACCGGCAGTGACGTCGCAGTCGCCGCCATATTGAAATGTTTCCCCTGTCCTCTTCTTCGAGCTCAACAGCAGCCATCAGCTCTCGATTTTCAGTTGGAGACAGGGACAACAACACAGACATGGAGATAGACACTCTTCTGGAAGCTCTTAAAGGTACCCGGTTGTGTGTGTTGAGGTGGTCTGCGCGAGTTTAGAGAGGATTTATATGTGCTTATGAGCTTGTAATGTGAGTTAGCTCATGTTAGCATGGCCTGTGGCTAAATGGCTTTTACTGTTTTTCGAGGTCTGTTGTGTGTTATGATGAACAGGTTACATCCTCCTGCTTCATGACTTCTGTAATTTTTGCCTGAAAATGACGGGATTGTTAAGTAATACGTTAATAAACAAGACTATCTTTTGATAGAGATAACTAGTGGTTTGGGATGATATAGAGCTGATTCAAGTATATTACACATCGGTTTATCCAGGGTTAACTCTAAACTAGTGAATAACTTAAAAATAAAGCCTGATTCTTGATCATTTTCCTTTATAGCGTGATTTTTGGGGCATTTATAATAATTAAACTTGTACTCTCGACTCCACGCCTATAGCGTAAATAATCATAATCATCATCTATCTTTTTATGTGTGTGTTTATTTATAGTCGTATAGTAGTGTAAATAGTTTTGGTGATTAAATGACATAAAGTTCAGATTTATTGTACCTGTATTAGCTCTTATGTATGTGTGTTAGGAAAAGGATGTAATATTTTCTCGTATTTTTCATGAAAGTTCAAGGCTGGGCTGGTTATAACGTCAACGTTAGTTATTCTCTTGAATGGTGCCATAAAATATCACACTCGGAACTTGAAAATGAACTAAAGACTAGAAACTAGATGTTTAGGATACATTTTCTCATAATTTTCATAAAAGCATGCATGCTATTCTAAGACTATTCCAGTTATTTTCTGACTGAGTGCTATAAATAGTTGTTTAAAAGAAAATGCTGTCTAAATTTGAAACTTGTAGATGACCTAAAACTAGGTGCATTGTAGTTAGCTATTTGGATATAGTTAATTAAAACATGCACCATTTTTCATTAAAACGGATATAGGGTGAGAACTAGATTTATAATTGAAGATATTGCTAGATTGTGCAGTTAAATGCACTTCAGAACTAAGATGATCGAATTGTATCCAGTACAGATTTTCACATGAAATCGACAATGCGATCTTATTGTGTTTTCTGTAGATTTTGACAAGAAGGTGAAGAAAGAAGCGTCTCCGCCGCTGGACCAGTTTTTGTGCCATATTGCGAAGACCGGGGAAACCCTGTAAGTACCGCCAGATAAGTGCGTCTGATAGAGGGGCACAGAAACCCCAACTACCTTTGTGTGAACTCTGTTTTAGTGGTTTGTTTAAAATCATCACTTTCCTTTTCTGGGTAACACCACAAAGTGGTTTACTATAACACCACAGCACGTTTGGTTTTGTTCCAAAACACACTGAACCTTGTCCTTATCGACTAGATCTGCTTTAGCCCTCATTTCATGAAGTAATTGTGAGTCGGATGCATATCGAGAGATCAAATGTATCTATGTCTCTGAAATACCTGCTTGGGATTGAGTCCTGTGATGAAATATTTTTTGCATAATGACCTCTGAACTGTGTGGCTTTTTTCATCCTGCATAGCTGTGCTAGTTTCATGTCTCTCTTATCAGCCTTGTATTTTCTCACATAATAAAACAATTTCAACTGAATTTTCAAATATGAAAATTTCATGCTAATTTTTTTGGTTACTGGCCATATAATAATCATGACCGGTGGATCTTATGCCTTACAAAGTATAGTTGTCTGTGTGACTGAGTTACTTATGCTCCATATTGTCACCTCTCCAGGGTGTCCTGGTCTCAGTTTAAAAGCTATTTCATATTCAAACTGGAGAAAGTAATGGAGGATTTCCAAGCGTCGGCCCCAGAGCAACGAGGGCCTGCCAACCCAAACGTGGAGTCAATTCCCTTCGAAGAAATGAAGGAGAGAATTCTTAAGATTGTCGATGGATACAACGGGTTAGTAATGCTCTTAATTAATTGCATTCTGTGGTGCTATCACCATTTTACTTTTAGAAAGGCATTGGGTTTTGTCCTTGTAATAAGTGTAAGCTGTTTTGGATAAAGAGCAAGCCTGTCTCTTTACCCCAGAGCAAGTGTGCCATCTTCTGGCTGTTGAATATAACCAAGCCTACACCATTCCTTGTTATGTGTGTCAGGTTAGAGTGGAGAACATTTGCTACTAGTTCTCTGTGGTTTGTTGTGGAGATTTCACCAGCTAATTCAAATATTATTCAAATATTTTTTTCTCTATCCAGGATCCCATTTACTATCCAGCGCTTGTGCGAGCTGCTCACGGAACCTAAGAGGAACTACGCAGGAACAGAGAAGTTTCTCAGAGGGGTAGAGAAGGTCAGTATGTGATGCTTTATTCAGTTTAAGAACTAAGTCAAATACAAATGGTGCACTTACTACAAAATACTTTTGTCAGGTCAAGTCTGACCTTTATTTATATAGCGCTTTTTACAATAGAGATTGTTTCAAAGCAGCTTTACAGTGATAACAGGAAAATAATGCAACAAAGTTTGTTTCGGCTGTGCAGCAGATCTAGAAGAAAATAGCGTTTTAGTCCAGCTTAAGTAAGTTCAGTGATGGTTATTTTTGTTGTAAAAAGGTTATTAATTTAGTTATTTAGCTATATATATATATATATATATAGCTATATAGCTAGCCGCTCTGGAGAAAACAGTGATGTAATCGTCCAGCTCAGTTCAGTTCTCATATAATGGTGTCAATGCAGGCAGATCAATAATATTGTTGAATATTAAGTGTACCCAACTAAGCAAGCCAAAAGCCAAAGGCGACAGTGGCAAGGAACCAAAACTCAGGTGACAGAATGGAGGGGGAAAAAAAACTTTGGGAGAAACCAGGCTCAGTCGGGGGGGGGGGGGGGATTATGATTCAGGCAGCATTACAGGTCAGAAGTCAGGTTGGATCAGAACATTCAGAATATTTATCCAGTTCCATCTGGTTGAAGATCGGAGTCATCACGCGGTATGGAGACGGGTTTGTTGAGGATCAGTGCCACTGGCTGTCGTGTCGATGAGGGATTCACAGGGTAGAGTCTAGTTGACAATCTCTGCTGACACTTCAGGGATGCGTTGTGGTCGTGTCTAGGTGCAGGTCCACCATCTGGTCTGGATACGGCTTGATCCGGCTGATTACATCATGCGTTGTGGTCATGTCTAGGCACAGGTCCACCATCTGATCTGGATCCGGCTGACTTTGAGGCATCTTCCTCACCATGCTCTTATAGGGGTGACGGTCCCCGTATGTTCCCAGTATGTTTTCTTTGTATTTGCATTTTTATTGTAGTTTTGCTACTTTCCATCTGAAGTCAGATGTGGGATATTATTACATGCTATCTCTGACTTCCATAAAGGTACTCTGTTGATTTCATGGTCGCTTGCATTTGGTTTGCAGTTGTGCGATTATCGATATAGAAATTTGTTTACATTGCTTTACATACTTCAATGTTTGCTAAATAGGTTTTATTTTTATGTGATGGAGGAACTTTGACGCATTGATGTGTTTTATGTTATAGTATCATTAAAAGGTCCATATCTTAAAGAAATACAAGCAAGAAGTTTAACTTTAATTTTTTTTATTCTTGTAGGTTGTAAATATAGAATTTATTTTGCTTATGTTATGCGATATTGATTTTTTTTCTCTCTCTCTCTTTGTCAGAATGTGATGGTGGTCAGTTGCATTTATCCTACATCTGAGTAAGTAATTACTGTTCAATATTAAAATCATAAAGCTGCTCAATCTTAATTTGATCACCTGGATATCTTTAATTACTGTAGACAAATGAAGAGCTATTTTTGGCCTTTGTAGGAAAAATGGCTGCAGTGGTATCAACAGAATGAATGGAGTCATGTTGCCAGGGAACACATCTGCCTTTACAGAGAGGTTAGGAAAATTAGCTTAGGACCAGTCATTTAAAAAAAAAAAAAAACGTACCTTGATTTTCCTGAATATTACAGGAAAGTGAATGGTCCAGGAACACCCAGACCATTAAACAGACAGAAACACTCCATGGCCAGTTCGCTGGCCACAAACGGCCTTCCGGACAGTACAGAAAACAAAGAGACGAACTCATCACAAGGACATAGCAAAACAGCCAGGTAGTCTATGTTTCCCATCATATCTAATTTTTCATGATTTTGTTTGTGTAAAATGCTGATGGTTAAATCAATGAACATGTTCACGTATCTCTCACATGATGAATAATTAAACGGCTTGGACTTCAGCAGCCCAAAATGTCCTTTACATTAGAGAAATACAGAATGTATCTTTGTGTTTCAGTGATGCATCTGTATCAGGCATTGGTGGGCCTCTCAGCAGCTCTGTTAAAAACAAACACTTAGATGATGAGGAAGATGAGGGCATGGAGGAGGAGGAACATGAAGTAAAGAGACTCAAATTCAACGAGGATGGCAATGAAGAAGATGAGGATGAAGATGTAGACGAGCAGGTTGTCGAGAAACCCAGATCTACATCGTCCAAAGGCTCCTCAGATAAGTCGGAGGATGCCGAATCACCGTCATCCATGTTGCAGGAGGGGAGTGAAGAAGAGGAGGAAAGTAAACCTCATGGTTCAGTTGAAAGTTCTGAGGACCAAGGTAGTGTAATCTGTTTCTCCACTTTTTGGGTTTTAACACGCTAAACAATGCTCTAATGTATTCTATTCTTTGCCAACCGTAGAGCCTTCCAGCACACAGCCTGAGTGTCCCGCCGCAGATTCCAGAGAGGCTTTTACTGAGAGAGAGGTTCCTTGTGGCTCAGATGACTCCTCAGAAGAGCCCAGTGATATGGACCAATCAGAGCAGAGAGCCCCGGCGGGTGTGGCCTCTAGCCCTGAGGTGAGAGAAGGGGAGGAGCCAAGCGAGCAGGTCAGCAGCAGTAGCACTGATGAAAATGCCTCTGGACCCACATCCAGCAGCAGTAGCGTAGAGTCACCCACAGAGGGCGACTCCGGGTCAGGGGCCCTGGACTCAGAGGGCGCAGAGGAGGAGCCTATGGAGCAGGACTAAAAGCCTGCAGACTACTGCCCTAAACAATAACTGCGTTCTTTTGTGGAGATTAAAACGGCACACACTTAAGTGGCCTTCCACAAAGGCCATCAGAAGCAACGCCCAATCTACCACCATGCGCCTTTTGGTCGAGAGTCCACCTAACTTCTCCAACCTTCCCAAACGGACACTTTATGCAGATGTACATATGATTTTATTGCTGAAGTCAAGGTTTTAAACTCCCTCTTTTTTTTTTTCAGTTTCTTTCCTTTAATTTCATCCATGTCATCGGTTTCTGCCAGTCTGTCAAAGCGGTTCGACTGAAGTTCTTTGGTGTCCAGTAATCACACTGTCAACTCTGACACCACTAACGGCTAATTAAAAGAATATTCATGGCTAAATACAAGTTAAAGTCTATTGACAAAGCTGTTGGAGTCTTTCAGTTACTACAGGAAATATTTCCAACTCATTTTTCAGTAAGAAAAAGCGGAATGTCGCTTGCCCATAGACTTGTATAATAAATGCGTTTCAGAGACAAAATATTTTGTTGTAAATGACACCATGTCTCAGCTGTTGTTAAAGCTTAACTTGTATTTAACCATATTTAAGGAGAAAGTTTAATCTGTATCCAGTCTTGTTTCTAAGTTTAGGACACCTGCTAGGACGTGTCGTCTCTGCTTTGGTGTATTAATATTTTAGTCACAGTGTCAAACATCAGGGCAGTGGAGTTTATCATCTTGCTCTCTCTGAAGAACCATAACTGGCTGCTTTTACAGTTATGTTCAAAGCAAATACAAGCCATAGCTATCTTTGTTCTGTTAAATGATTCGAGCCTAGCGTAACATAATTTTTTTTCTGGTCCTTTGTGTGTAACTGACAGGATGTAAAATCTATTTTCTCACACGCTACCACCTTCGCTTTTGTATTATTGTGCAGTCTGCGCTGCATTGAAAGTAAGTGGTTTATGTCAGGTACATTTACCTCTTGATTTAAACTGATTTCATGATTCACATTAATTTATACCAACGTTTTGATCTTCTGTTTTATGAGAAGTTGTTTTCATTTGTTGTTCTTGGCAGGTGGTTATTGACGGCTCCGACTAGCTCAATTACAATGTTATTTGTGACAGTCCAACCCTGAGTTGTCCCACCGATAACAGCTGGCTGCCGTTTTGCAGCTGTGCGATTTTTGATATTTAGAATTTTTAAATTTCTGTAAAGTAGTGTTTTGTAGAGCATTGTGTTCACTGCCTTTTGTGCATCCATGTATAATTTTTTTTTTTTTTTTTTTTTTTTTGGTGTATTACTGAATGCGTGTGGTTTCAATACAGTATTCAGATGAAGCAATAAATGTTATTGTTTTAAATGTTTGGAAGAGCCTTTAATTTCTTTGCCAACGTGTTCTCATGAACCTATTGCTTTGCTTTTTGGTCGGTAGGGGCTTGCTTACTGGTCCAAGACAAAAGAGTCCTCCAAGTGTTCATGATACTCTGGTCTCTAGCTATGGCTTGGGTCCTTTCTTCAATGTAAGTTTGTGGGCTTTTTTCGCCTGTTTTATTGACCAAAAGAACTTTGAGATAAATAACACAACTCTCCTCAACAAGCCACACAATTTGATGCAGCCATGTTCACTGTTGTAGAACTTGCCCGTAGCACAAACTAAGTTTAAAACTTGGTAAGCACCACAAACTAGTAGGGATGTTGTTCATAGGAGGATTACCGTTACATAACGTCTCTTATTCTTTCATCCAGGCCTTTTCATAATCCTTAATCATGTTCCTCAAATGAATGCATGCTAATTCATTTTGCTGTTATTAAGCTCTTGCACAAATATTTCTGCTTCATTTCCCAAATACAAGTTTCCTTTTCTTATGTCACAGTCATATGCCTCTAACAGGCTCCTGCTGACTCGGAACAGAACAGAACTCGCACTTATCTGTGCTCGTATTGGCTGGATAATTTCAGAGGTCGTGTGTGCTACTGAAATTTACCCAGCCCTCTCGGAGGAAATAAAAAGTGGATTTTCTTAATCCTGCCGTGATGCGCAGTGAGAGGTTACGTTTAACTGACGTCTTCGAACGCCCGTCTCTTGGGAAATAACCCTGCACGCTGTGGGAATAGAAACAAGTCTTAAGTAAATTAATTGTAATTTGATCCATGAGACTAGGACCCAAGCTTATTAATAATGAAGTCGAGTGACTTTTAAGACATTTCTCGTGTTATGTGTACTTGAGGAGCTCAGTTAAAAGATACTACTTCAGGCTCTAAAATATAACATTTTGTGTATCCTAGGTGAAATCTGAAGTATGGCTGTATATGTCCAGGTTATCTTTAACCCAAAATCTAAAGAAAAATATTTATTTAAATAAATAAAAATGAAGCCTATCTTTCAGACTACACTATTCAATTTTGGAACTATTTTGGAACCTTTATTTTTTAAGTGTTTTTCTCTTATTGACATTTACCATAATACATACTGTAAATTAAAAAATGTGTTTGTAACATTAAGAGCTGTACATCAAATACTTAAATGTGGGGGTAAAATGAGCCTAACTGTTATTAGGATAAGCATCGTAAAAATAGGCTTCCTTTTCTTGTAAGCAATATGTTTTCAATTTAAATATGTACTGGGTTTGTTCTTGTGTGCTGACTCCCAGTCTCATTACTTGAGGATAAAGGGATAAGAGTTTAAACAACCACAAAAATGTCATATTTGCATGAGAAAACAAACCATATGCTAAACATGATTTAATACACAAAATTTGCTCATTTCTAGTAAGCTAATGCATTGACTGGGATAATGTGAGAATTATTGACTTTCTCTTGCACTCTTTTATAGTAATTGTTGGTCTGCCCCCATGTTATAACAATTTAATAACCTGTGAAGTGCCTGTTATTTACAAAGCTCAAGTAAAAGACAGATGTCAGTCATAATGTTATTGTCAATGAGTGGCAGCTGATGCACAGTGACAGGATATTGGTGGCCAGACACTGGAGCTTGATTCTAAGCTTTCCTTACAATGCACCTCTGTAGAGCAACATCTAGAAGGTGAAACAACATATGTGAAGTTCAACATTAAAAACAGTTTACCCCACTGCAAAGCCGAATAATTTGGCAAAACTCAAATTTGAGGTAATCAGATGCATTTTTTTTTTAAGTTAAGAAATTCAAAGTTTAAGAATTTTATTTTGTACTCATACATTATAATTGTTCGTAACTTGTAATATTTGAGAAAGCGAATTCATACATTTAACTTAAAATTATCATGTAATCTCAACTTAAATATTTTTAGCAGTGGAAACTAGCTTTAACTAGCTAATTCAGTAAATGTTAACTTGCTAATTGGTAACACAATAATTTAATACTCATCCAGCAATTGCTATGCTTTGCTAAGGCAATATAGAATCTTTAACATATATCTGTTCTCAAACCAAACTCATCACCATGATGGTAACCCCTGAAAAAAACCCATAACAGAAACTCTTCTAAATTATCATAGCATAGCAAAACATTAAACTAAATCTCCCACTTCACATTAATTTGAGCATTTACTCTCCCTTTAGAGTGCCATGGCAAAGCATGCTGGGAAATTGGAATCCCAGCCCAGTTTCAGTTAAATTTAAGTTTGTCTAAATTAAAAGAAACAAGTTCATACAACTCAAAACAATGAAACAATTCAGATTACTTAAAATGTGTAAAATTTATGAACTTCAAAGAAAAAGAAAGCTCTAAATACTCCTAAAAGTTAATTAGTTTCATTTAAGTTAACCCTACTGAAACTAATTGATTATTTTGAGCATACGGGGTTACAGCCCTAATAATTCACACACTGGTGTCTTTGGTACTGAAGTAACCAAGGAGACCGTCTCTGATCCTTCTGCATAACCAATCCAGCCAAGTCATAATTTGCAGTTACCATGTGGGCTTCAAAAGAGGCATGTCTAATTTTTTATCCCCAACAGAGGACGTGTTAAAAGTGTCTGAGACTTAGAGAAGACGAAAAGTTCGAAACAGGTCATTGTGGTGAAGTGGTCCTGCACATCTCATATTCTAAAGCAGAAGCCATTATCCAGTAATGAGGACCAAAGAATAAATGCAAAATCATGAATGCATCGGGCTGTAGTTGGTGTCCACAGTTCTTTGAATTTAAAGTCCTTTATGTTAAATATTTGCTTTCTTAATGCAGGTTTTTGGTCTAATTGTGAACAATTCGTCAGTGCATGTTATTGCAAATAAAACAAAAAGAAAAAGTTGTCTTCAACAAAGGTGAATTCTGGTTGATTGGGACACTTTTTCCCAGTCATCTCAATGGGAAAAAGTGTCCCAATCAACCTGACAAATGTAACATTTCTAGTCCTTTTTGTAGGCGTCACTTATATATTAAATAAATGTCTAAATAATATGTAATTTAATATATATATAAATATGCATTGGCTTAGCGAACTCAAATTCAGCCTGGACTGCTATGCCTAATTCATCACGATCCAGTTAATTCAGGATAGATAGAATCAAGTGCCAATTTTTTTTTTCATCATCTAGCCTGTTTCACTAAGAAATGTCATCTTCTCCACGTAAAACTGCAAACGGCAATTCATGTTGACCTCAAAATCTGTATTTAAGAATGGAAGAACAAGAACTTGATGTAAGCAAAGAAGTTTGAAGAATTCTAAACCCATCCTGTATAATTTCATTCCAAAATGAAAAGTAGCTTATGTCCTTCATGCGCATTATCACATTTTGGATTGACTTGGATCGGATCAGATTGGAAGTTCACTGCTTGGTCACTGTTCTCATTGCTGTAAACCTTACCATGGTTCAAGCGAGGGTCAAGCCTCACCATGCACAATCTCTGTGTCATCCAATAGAGGGTAGTGTTTAGTCTCCCAGCCAGGCCTAACAGGTTTACCCCTCCCCAGAACGAGGAGACCGACTGACAGCCCCGGGGCTGTAGATATGGGATGCCATCGTCCTCTTTTCCGCTTCCCCTTTATCCTTCTCTCTGGCATGAAGTCTTGATGACTGCTCAAATGCTGTGGGCACCGTGTCCAATGCAACCGTCAGCTGAGACTCGCACGTGGCCATCAGCTTAAAGAGCTGTTTAAAGTATGTGAAAGCTGAAATGAGGGAGCAATTGCAAACTCTAAAGATTTAGTGACTTTTTGAACTTGGATGAAGGGTGTGTAGCCAGAATTTAGACTAAGTAAAGTCTGTTCCACTTTCCAATTGATCCTGGACAAAAAACACCAATTAAATAGCAAGAGACCGTTTGAGCAGCATGCAAAGTTACCAGTCAAAGAATGGTCAGTTATATAGTACATTTTTACATTTCATCTTGATGAATGGGATTTTTTAATGTGTGTCATATTCATCACATAAATGACAATTGGCAAAGGGCAGGCGGATAGTGGACCGAAATGTGTTTGCGTATGGCAGTTCTATTATGTGATAGACATTTTAACCTCTTGCTGAATATTCATTTGTTTCAGCAGCATCATTCTTTTTTATACCGTGTGGAGGGATGAGTTGTCAAGTGCAGTTCCCCAACAAAGCTTGAAGTCTTGGAATTGCCAGACTGTTGAAGAGGTGTGATGGAAAAAATACACTGTTCTCAGGCAAATGTTATTTGAACTGCCACTAACTTGTCAGACAGGCATTGACCAAGACCGTTCTGAACTTCATATCCAAGGATGAGGCAGAGCCAATGGATGAGCTTTTAGTATCTAAAGATATATCATTAAATGGAAAATAACTTACAAAACTTCCCACGTGTGCTATTTGTAATTTCAACTGAGACTTGAAATGAAGCTTGGCGAGAGATGAAGTTACAAGAAAATTACTGCTTTTATATTGCAAAATGCATCCGACATCTGCTTTTTGCCATCTGTTTTCTCCACATAAACAGGTGAGGGAACATATTGAACACAGTCTGCCAAGCCCATTTTCTTGGCTCAACTCTTTACAGGGTAGTTACGAGATGGAATCGGTGGCAAAATGCCTGTCATGTAAAGTCCCCTGCCTATTATGCATGGTCCTATTGTATAAACCCTTACAAAAATGTACCATTGTAATCATAGTTTCTGGCTAAATAAATAAATGAACGGAATCGATTTTGTCGATAATAAGTTGTACAGTTTTACAGTTATTTTGACTTATTTTGACAGAAGCTTGTTATCATGGTAAGTTATTTGCAGTTTTTAGTATTATTTAAAGGTGTAATCTCACTTGGACTGAATTATTCTCTAAGGGAAAACCAATTTCAGCAATTAAATGTGAGTTTATATACAGCACCTGGGTTTTAAACAGTGCTATACAATGTATTTCAGACTTTTATCAGTATTTGTCAGGGCACAATCTATTAGTGTTTGACTCT